GGGGGGGGGGGGAGGGGGCTGCCATCTTACAACCAGAAAATAAACCATTATCATATACTAAAAGTCAAATAGGTATTATAACATTTAAATTTTATTACAAAAATATTTTTTCATGATTTGTGTTTGCACACTGTATATAGAGTATAACACAAAAATAAATTCTTAGCTGTGTATATTGTGTATGGGGGTGCAGGGATGTGGGGGTGTGTGTGTGTCTGTGTATGGGAGGCATTTGTGAGGGGATGTGTGTGGGGGGCATAGGGTATGCATAGGGGCTGTGTATATGTGAAGGTGTGGGGGCAAGTTGTGGGAGTGTGGCATTTGTGGGGTGTAAGGGAGGGTGGGGGTATGTGAGGACCCCCCATATTGTCCCCATGGTGCAGCAGCAGACAGAGTGCTTGTGCCCAGTGGCGTGCAGCTCTGGCTAGTGCTGCACATTGTGGCAAGGAGTGCAGCCTCTGCCAGGCCACCTCTATCACCAGTGCTCCCTGCTATGCATGCGCAGCCCCCACACTTGTGTGGCACAGCAGGGAAGCCCCCCACACTGCAGCCAGCTGCCTTCCTGACTCTCTATGGAGCAGGTCCCTGGCAGCTGCAGCAGTGACCATAAGGGTGGGAGCGAGGCTCACTAGGGTATGTTTGGGGTGTGTGTATACATGGGCGCCTTGCTCCCACCCTCATGGGTGGAAAGTCTGGGCAGGGTACAATTCATTGGTGGGTACCATGGGCTGAAAGTGCCTGGCAGGCCAGATTCAGCCCACAAGTCATATTTGCCTACTCTGGTCTACTGGGTCAATCATTTTGTTTTAATAGCTAAGAGCAATGAAATATTTTTACTGATTTTAAATAAGGGTTGAGTCCTTAATAAAATAAAGCAGTAAAAATAGTCACAATACTCTTTTCCAGCAGTAAAGACACCTAGTCAATAGTAATAACTAATGACCCAATTTTCAAAGGTTAACTGTAAGAAAGCTGTGGGTATTGAAAGTCAGGACATAACTCTATAAAAATTGCTTTCTCTTAATC